TACCTCAGCCTCCTGAGGAGCTGAGATTACAGGTGGCCACCACCATGCCCAGCTAATTTTTGTATTTATTTTAGAAACGGGGCTTTCACCATGTTGGCCAGGCTGGTCTCCAACTCCTGACCTCAGGTGATTCACCAGCCTCTGCCTCTCAAAATGCTGGGATTACAGGCATGAACTACCATGCCTGGCTATTTTATTTTTAAACTTGGAGAGGTCAGCTCCAAGTCTGGGATACATGAGGCAAGAAGAAAACCCAGGGAATTCATTGCTGCTGTTCCTTGAGTCCTGAGGTCCCTAGCCATCTTCTCTCAACTTTATATCTGTTTTATTTATATTACCTAGGGTTTTTAGTTATAAATTAAAATTTTACATAATTTTAGAGATTTTAAAGGTACATGTCACAACAAGAGGCAGATTACATTTCTTTTCTACTTTGAGTATACACATTCAATTTTTTAAATTATTGTGGTAAAATATACAGAAAAAATAGGAAAAGTCACTAATTGGCATTTAAAGTTACTATTTTGATAAAATGAAAGTTAACGGTTTTTAAAAGTAAACTAAAGTCAGGTTAAAAAAAAATAAGACTTTTGAATGAAAAGCATTAGAAAAACTATGTTTTGTGATCTCCCTGGGTTACATAATTAGTATTAATAGTTAAAATGATTTGTATTGCATTATCTCAATAAAATTTTCATGGGAATGGTAAGGTGCTTGAAAATGAAAAGGAAATACCTAAGCAGAGAGTGTTTTTTAAATGTGACACATGTGAATAGAAAGTCTGAAGAGTGTGACACATTCTGGTGACTCGTCACAGGGTCTTCAGTTACTGGGCTGCTGCTTGTGTTCTTCAGTCTGTGGGACGCACCACGGACAGTATCACTGGGATTTGTTAAATAGCTATCAAATCGTATTTTAAATTATTACTTTTATATAAATCTTTAGGAACTTGACTTTTTGAAAATTACTTTTTAGTTTATTTCATATTGATTGTGTTATTTTAGAAATTTTCATAGCTTGCATTTACCATTTCTTTATATGTTAAAGGATATTATTCCTATACTATTCTTTACAATTTTACCTTGCTCAGTGTTGAAAATCTCTTATACAGATTATTTGTCATCATCTCTGGCCATTTTCACATTCATAGTAGTGTCTGTTCTCACAGAAAATGATTGTCCTGTACATGGGGGTTTTGCGTAATGGGCTCATAGTAGTGTCTGTTCTCATAGAAAATGAGCGTACTGTATATGTGGGTTTTGTATAATGGGCTGATTGGGTAAGGATGACATCACTTTGTGGGATTGCCTGAAGGAGTTACTAGAAGAACATAAGACTTTTGACTGCTAGCATTTCTTAATAAATGCCATACTGTTGAAAACATTAATTTGTGTTTGGACTGAAGTGAACTGTGGTTTTCCTGGCTTAGTTACTGAGATTTAAAGAAATAAGTCCTAATGTCATAATTAAATAGCCAAATAGAATGAAATATTAAGCATTTTTCTCCCTGGCAGAGAGAAATGGGGTTAAGAAGGAAAGAAGTTACTAACTGCCAGTCTCTGTTACACAGTTGTGAGACTAATTTTTGAGATTTGAAGTTCAGGAATGCTTTGGAATTTTGTTTCTGTAATTTCTGTATTCTTCATTTTATTGCTGAGACATAAGATATGGTTATTAGAAAAGTCCATAATTTTAGAGATTTTTAAGGTACATGTCACTAAGAAGAGGCAGATTACATTTCTTTTCTACTTTGAATACTACATATTTGAGTTTTTAAATTGTGGTAAAATATGCCATTTTACCCATTTTTAAGCATCTGTTCAGTGGTATTAAGAGCCTTCATACTGTTGTGCGGCTATCACCAACTAAATCCACTTCTAGAATTTTTTTCATTATCCCAGACTGCAACTCTGTATGCATTAAACACTCACTCTTCATTGCTTCCTGGTGATCATTCTGCTTTATGTCTTCATGAATTGGGCTGTTCTAGGGACTTCATATAAATGGAATCATATTTGTCCTTTGATGTCTGGCGTATTTCACTGACCATAATGTTTGCAAACTTCATGTTGTAGCATGTCAAAGAATTTTATTCCTTTTTGAATGCAGAATAATATTCCATTGTGTCAGTATAACACATTTATGGAAATATCTGTTCACCCATTGGTAGACATTTGTTTTGTTTCCACCTTTTGACAGTTGTGAATAATGCTGATGTAAATATCGGCCTACAAATATCTGTTCAAGTCCCTGCTTTCAGTTCTTTTTTTTTTTTTTTTTTTTGAGGTAGAGTCTCGCTCTGTCGCCCAGTCGCCCAAGCTGGAGTGTAGGCGCCATCTCAGCTCACTGCAACCAAGCTGGATCATATGGTAGCTCTGTTTTTAGTTTTTTGAGAAGCCTTCAAACAGACTCCTGGGTTCAAGTGATTCTCCTGTCTCAGACTCCCAAGTAGCTGAGATTACAGGCACATGGCCACCATGCCTGGCTAATTTTTGTGTCTTTTGTGGAGACAGGGTTTTGCCATGTTGGCCAGGCTAGTCTCACGCTCCTGACCTCAAGTGATCCACACACCTCGGCCTGTCAAAGTGCTGGGATTACAGGCGCAAGCCACTGCACCCAACCAGTTCTTTTCATTATATACCCAGAAGTAGAATTGTTGGATTGTATGGATCATAAATATAATTCTATGTTTAATTTTTTGAGGAACTGCCATATTCTTTTCCACAGTGGCTGTACCATTTTACTTTCGAGCTAGCAAAGCACAAAGGTTCTGATTTCTCCACATTCTTACCAACACCTGTTGTTTTTTTCCTTTTTTAATAATAGTTGTCTGAATGGGTATGAAGTGGTATCTTACTGTAGTTCTTAAAATTTCTGTGAGTGCATCATGGCTGCATATATTTATGTTTTTCCTTTTTTTAATATTGTCTGTCGGGCATGGAAGTGGTGGGCCTGCACAGTTCCAAAATTTCTGTGAGTGCATCATGGCTGCAGTTATACACAGGGGTCTGGGAGATAATTTGATAGAGCCGTACAATGTGGAATAGTCACATCAGGGTAAACGGGGTATCCATCACCCCAAGCATTGATGCTGTGTTACAATCCAGTCATACTCTTTGAGTTATTTCAAAATGTACAATAAATGGTCATTGACTGTAGTCATTCCCGACAGTGACTTTATGATTTAAAAAAAGAGAGAAAACGTGGTAAGCAAATGAATCTCACAGTAATTAATTAAGTCAGAGTAGGTATCGATAGAGAGATGGTTTGTCATATTCCTTTGTCCTCTGCATTTTCTGAAAGTTTGCAGCTGATCCAGATGCTTAATCAGACTCAGGTTCTGTTCCTTTGGCAAGACCACAGGTAATGTTCTGTTCTTCTAATGGGAGGCGTACAATTTCTTTCTTTTTTTTTTTTTTTCTTTTTTGAGACAGAAGCTCGCTCTGTTGCCCAGGCTGGAGTGTGGTGGCTCTATCTCTGCTCACTGCAACCTCTGCCTCCCAGGTTCAAGCGATTCTCTTGCCTCAGCTTCCCAAGTAGCTGGGATTACAGGTGTGTGCCACCACGCCCAGCTAATTTTTGTGTTTTTAGTAGAGATGGGGTTTCACCATGTTGGGCAGGCTGGTCTCAAATTCCTGACCTCAAGTGATCCACCTGCCGTGGCCTCCCAAAGTGTTGGGATTACAGGCGTGAGCCACGGCGCCCGGCCTGAGGCGTGTCATTTCTGATTGTCTTTTGTAAAGATCACAGCTGTTGATGTTTAATTCTAGATCCATTAATTCATAGGGGTTTCACAATTGTGATATTCTATCATTCTTTTTTATTCATAGCTAGAATACTTTTATAGTGAGATGCTCCCATTCATCTATTGTTTACTCAATGATACCTTTAGATAGGGAAGGCAGGATAAATGTTTGATTTTTTTTTCTCTTAATTTCCTCAAATGTTTGATTTTTCCTTCAGTTGTATTAGTTTGTTTTCATGCTGCTGATAAAGACATACCTGAAACTGGGAACAAAAGGAGGTTTAATTGGACTTACAGTTCCACATGGCTGGGAGGCCTCAGAATCATGGCGGGAGGCGAAAGGTACTTATTTACACGGCAGCGGCAAGAGAAAATGAGGAGGGAGCAAAAGTGGAAATCCCTGATAAACCCATAAGATCTCGTGAGACTTATTCACTATCATGAGAATAACACGGGAGAAACCGACCTCCGTGATTCAGTGACCTCTCCACTGGGTCCCTCCCACAGCGTGTGAGATTCAGAGAAAATGAGGAGGAGCAAAGTGGAAATCCCTGATAAACCCATAAGACTTTGAGACTTATTCACTATCATGAGAATAACATCGAGAAACCGAATTCTGATTCAGCACCTTCACTGGGTCCCTCCCACAGCGTGTGAGATTCTGGGAATACAATTCAGGTGGATTCAGTGACCTTCTGACTGGGTGTCCCTCCCACAGCGTGTGAGGTTCTGGGGAATACAATTCAGGTGGAGACTTGGATGGGGACACAGCCAAACCATGTCACCGGTTTACAAGATACTATATTAGTGCTCTGTCATCTTTTCCAGGTGTGTGTCATAAACTCATGTAGTTCAATATATGTGATGAATTTCAGTCTATTGCAGTCATCTTTATCAAAGCTCAGATTGCCTCATCTTTGGCCGTTGGGAGCAGAGATGCTTCCTGAGTCCTTTTGACCTGACCTTGATCATCTTTGGTAAATAAAGGGACAGTATTTTTTGTTTTGCTTTTCAAAAATCTCAGCATATTTTCTGTGCCTTTAGGAAGGTGGATTTTAGAGATCTATTTGTTTTAGGATATTTGGAACTGATTGATACGATCTTTGATATAATTTGTAAGCAGATATATGCCTTCAAGGTTGTGTTACTTTTAAAGAATAATAGTTTCATTTTTTAGTTTATGTGGAAAATCAAAACATTTCAATAAAATAAGTTCCAAGGACCGATTTTAAACCTAATTTAATTTTTCTTTTAGACCTGTCACGAAATCGCCTTTCAGAAATTCCTATAGAAGCATGTCACTTTGTTTCTCTGGAAAATCTCAACTTGTACCAAAATTGTATTCGGTATATTCCAGAGGCAATTTTAAACCTACAAACTCTAACGTTTTTAAATATTAGGTAAGATGTTTTCTATTTTAAATTTTTGGTTTTATGTGATCTTTTCAATTTTCCCCTCTCTTTCCCTAAAATATTTACCTATATATATGCTATCCTTCGTGTCAGCAGTTTCTATATGTGCTCTTGGATATATTAACAGTATTCCCTATGTCCCTCCAGTTTCTCAGTTTGTCTTTGGCTTTGCAGTACAGATGCTCCCTGACTTACAGTGGGGTTACATCGTAGTAAACCCGTATAAGTTGAAAATGCATTTCCCACATAATCCATCAAACGTTATAGCCTAGCCTAGCCTACTTTAAATGTGCTCAAAACACTTACAGTAGGCTACAGTTGGGCAAAATCATCTAACACGAGGCCTATTTTATAATAAAGCATTGAATAGCTCATACAATTTACTAGATAGTGTAATAAAATATAGTTTCTACTAAATGTATTGCTTTCCCACCAACATGAAGCCGAAAAATTGTAAGTCAGCTGTTGTTAGTTGGGAATGCCTGTAATTAACAAACCTTACTAGCCATTTGCCTAATGAGCTTGCAGCAGTCTTGTAGCAGTGCTTCTCCAATTACATTTTCTAATTAGCTTCATTAAATAAGAATAATAGATCTGAAATTACTTTGTTTCTCGTGACCATGTATTTTTGCATATTGTTCCGAATGTATGAATGCATTTATTAAACTAGTCTACTCCACTTTCACATCTTAAAATGACTCTCTTGTTGTTTTATTTGACAACAAATATTTGCAAATGTTCATTGAAGATAATGTGCAAATGTGGAAAAATATAAAGGAAATTCATCAAAATGTATCCGAATTTTATAAGTGATCTTTTCCTTCTGTTTTTCCAGGTTTTTAGTCAAATTTTTAAATGAGTTTTCCCCTTATGAAACATTATTTAAAACTATTTTTGTATGTAATTATTGTACAGTTTATATACTGTTGAAAATACATTTACCTCTGGGATCTTTAGTTTCTTCCAGTTTTTTACCATGATAAAAATAATATTAGCAGAGAATTTTATATGTAAATGTTTACTTTTCTCTTTCCAGAAGATAGATGTCTGGGAGTGGAATTGTTACTGGATTAGAAAGTGTTAAAGGCTTGGCCGGGCGCGGTGGCTCAAGCCTGTAATCCCAGCACTTTGGGAGGCCGAGACGGGCGGATCACGAGGTCAGGAGATCGAGACCATCCTGGTTAACACGGTGAAACCCCGTCTCTACTAAAAATACACACACACAAAAAAACTAGCTGGGTGTGGTGGCGGCACCTGTAGTCCCAGCTACTCGGGAGGCTGAGGCAGGAGAATGGCGTAAACCCGGGAGGCAGAGATTGCAGTGAGCTGAGATCTGGCCACTGCACTCCAGCCTGGGCAACGGAGGGGGACTCCCTCTCTCAAAAAAAAAAAAAAAAAAAAGTGTTAAAGGCTTATGATCTCAGTAAAAGATCTTACAAATGGGGAGGCAATTGGTCTTAAGGAATGAGGTTGAATTTACATACGTAAAAATCTAGTTTATTTTAATCTTGATAGATGTGGGGTTTTTTTTGTATTTTTGTTTTTTCTTTTTGTTTTGAGACAGGGATTTGCTCTTGTTGCCCAGGTTGGAGTGCAATGGCGCGATCTTGGCTCACCACAACCTCCATCTCCCGGGTTCAAGCCATTCTCCTGCCTCAGCCTCCTGAGTAGCTGGGATTACAGGTGCCCACCACCACACCCGGCTAATTTTGTATTTTTAGTAGAGACAGGGTTTCACCATGTTGGCCAAGCTGGTCTCAAACTCCCAACCTCAGGTGATCCACCTGCCTTGGCCTCCCAAAGTGCTGGGATTACAGGCATGAGCCCCCACGCCCGGCTAATTTTGTGTTTTTAGTAGAGACAGCGTTTTGCCATGTTGGCCAGACTGGTCTCGAACTCCCGACCTCAGGTGATACACCTGCCTTGGCTTCCCAAAGTGCTGGGATTACAGGTGTGAGCCACTGCGCCCGGCCGATAGATGTGTTTTTTTATTGTACTTTTAGTTCTGGTTTGCATGTTTTTGTATAAATAAAAATTCTTTACCTGTAACTTGGTGTGATCTATGAAATCACAACTTACTGCCATATTTTCACCATTTATGTGCATTTGATTATAATATTGTAATGATGAGGGAAACAGATTACAAGTTTTATTTAGAAATCTTCTTCAGGCTGGGCGCGGTGGCTCACACCTGTAATCCCAGCACTTTGGGGAGGCCAAGACAGGTGGATCATGAGGTCAGGAGATCGAGACCATCCTGACTAACACGGTGAAACCCCGTCTCTAGTAAAAATACAAAAAAAGTTAGCCAGGCGTGGTGGCGGGCGCCTGTAGTCCCAGCTACTTGGGAGGCTGAGGCAGGAGAATGGTGTGAACCGGGAGGTGGAGGTTGCAGTGAGCCGAGATCGCACCACTGCACTCCAGCCTGGGTGACAGAGCCAGACTCTGTCTGGAAAAAAAAAAAAAAAAAAAGAAATCTTCAGAAGGAAGGAGGATGATATTATCCACCTTTTAAAAAATATTTTCCTGCATAAATTTTACTTTAATAAAACAATATTATGTTTATGTAGTACTTCATTGTTTACCAAGGAGTTTTCTTGTGCAGGAGCCCTGTAAGCTGTAAGATAGGTAGGGAGATACGAAGATCTTCAGTTTACAGATGAGAAATCTCTGTAAGATGCAGATTAAGTTCAACACTGTGCCTGTAACCATAAAGCAACCACCAGTAAAACGAAGGCTAGAACTCCAGTACCCTGTTTGTTTCTTGCAAGACTCATATTTGTTATTTTACTGAGTATGGAGTGAGAAAGAGGGAAAATTTTTCTTCAGTGGTGGACTCTGATTCTTCTTTCTGCTTACCCATTTAGTCGGAACCAACTGTCAACATTGCCGGTACACTTGTGTAATTTGCCGTTGAAAGTCTTAATTGCTAGTAATAATAAATTGGTGTCACTTCCAGAAGAAATTGGACACCTCAGACATTTGATGGAACTTGTAAGTTAATATTTTTGATCGTCCAGCGTGTGTGTGTGTGTGTGTTTGTGTATATGAAACCTTGGAGAGAGAGATGTCTACAAAGTCGTACCATAGTCTCTTATATGGCCAAGATTTATTATTGAGATACGTTTTTGACTTATTTTCCAGTATTGGTAATGAATCACGTACTGAATTTTCAGTACTCAAGTGGTTGGCACACAGAACTAAGAACTGAAAGTACAAGCCTAATCGGCCCACACAGATGGGAAAAAGTCATTAGAATTATGTTCTAACCAATATTAGATGATTTCTGTGTCATTAAATTTTTGAGATATGTTAATATAATTGAATTTTTCAAAATAAATGTATCATCAATATTCTGATTTTTTATTAGCTCCTATAGGGGAATGGCACTACAAAGGTTAGGTTTATTTTTTGCCTTACATTATCTCTTTAGAACCTATCTCCCACTTTATAAAGTAAAATATACTTCATTGCTATGTGGTTTTGTTTTATTTTTTTGGAGACGGAGTCTCACTCTGAGGCCTAGGCTGGAGTGCAGTGGCGCGATCTTGGTTCACCGGAATCTTGGCTCCGCCTCCTGGGTTCAAGGGATTCTCCTGCCTCAGCCTCCCGAGTAGCTGGGACTAGAGGCACCTGCCACCACGCCTGGCTAATTTTTTGTATTTTTAGTAGAGATGGGGTTTCACCGTGGTAGCCAGGATGGTCTCGATCTCCTGACCTCGTGATCCGCCCGTCTCGGCCTCCCAAGGTGCTGGGATCACAGGCGTGAGCCACCATGCCCGGCCCTATTGCTGTGTATTTTCTAAGACACTAAATTGAACTCCTTCACCTAATCACTTCTTGAGTATTTACCTTCTGAGCATTGGAATAACAATTTTCTCATTTAATCACCATGATAATGAATTGATTACTAAAATTATTTTCATTTTATAACTGAGGAAGCTAGCACTCAAAATCGGTTAAATAATTTGCCTAAGGTTATATAACAGAAGTAGTAGTTGAAACCAGACTACCGTAAGTCGTTCTGAAGTGGTCAAATACAATTACATCCATTAGGATTAGGGGTATGGTTTCATGTAGGTTTATTAACAAAGATGGAAGATGGTTATCATAAATTAATATGTATGTAATATAGGTGAATCACTTTTTTCAGTTAGATTGTGAATATAAGAGGTTACTTGTGAAAATCCACAAATATCTTAAAACTAGAGTCTACATTCTAGACCAGTACTTTTGGAGCCAGTTAGACCTAGGACATAAAGATCAGAATGTATGTTTATCAGCATCTCTTCAGAACTTGGGTTAAAAACATGAACTAGAAGCAAACTATACTCTAATTCAAATTCTTCTTTTCAAATCATTTAAACATTTTGTTTCTACTTATTCAGTCCTAAATATTTAAAAGATAGAGATGTGTCACAGAAGCTTTCAGTTCTCTACGAAAGAGGTTAGTTGATGTCCTCAGTCATATAAGGAACTTGTGGTAGAATAAGAATTAGTGTCCTGGCCGGGCGCGGTGGCTCACGCTTGTAATCTTAGCACTTCGGGATGCGGAGGCAGGCAAATCACCTGAGGTCAGGAGTTCGAGACCAGCCTGGTTAACATGGTGAAACCCCGTCTATGCTAAAAATACAAAAATTAGCCAGGCATGGTGGCACCTGTTATCCCAGCAACTTGGGAGGCTGAGGCAGGAGAATCGCTTGAACCCAGGAGGCGGAGTTGCAGTGAGCTGAGATCACACCACTGTACTCCAGCCTGGGCGACACAGTGAGACTCCGTCTCAAAAAAAAAAAAAAAAATTCATGAATGAGTGTCCCTAAAGCTCTCCATTCCCATCTGATGGTCTTTCAGCAACATCCTTGTTGGCTCACTGTTTTTTTCCTCTTCAGTAAGTGAAAGCAAACTGCTGTTTTCTACATACGTATTTTCTGAGAGATTATATATTGCTGTTACCTTTTGGCTCAAACTCAATTTTTATATCCTTTCAACTTTTTTTTTTCCTAGCTAGGATTTGAACCTATATCCTTTCAACTTCTTTTAGAACCCTTTTAATGCCTAGAGCATTGGACTAAGAAGTCTAGCTTCTGGCCAGGCACAGTGGCTCTTGCCTGTAATCACAGCACTTTGGGAGGCCGAGGCAGGTGGATCACCTGACATCAGGAGTTTCAGACCAGCCTGCTCAACATGGTGAAACCCCATCTCTGCTAAAGATAAAAAAATTAGCCGGGCGTGGTGGCGGGTGCCTGTAATCCCAGCTACTTGGGAGGCTGAGGCAGGGGAATTGCTGGAACCCAGGAGGCAGAGCTTGCAGTGAGCCGAGATCACTCCACTGCACCTCCAGCCTGGGCAGCAGAGCGAGACTCCATCTCAAAAAAAAAAGTCTAGCTTCTGATTCTACTTCAATTATTAATTGGTAGGAAAAGTAAAACTAGTCTTTTCTCTAAGCATATTTTAAGAATATTAAAAAATAACGTTTGAAGCTTATTGAAAAATTTGACAAGTGGTCTTTTTTTATTCTTTCTTTTTTAAAAAAAGAAAATAGAGATGAGTCCTTACCATGTTGCCCAGGCTGGTCTGAAACTCCTGGGCTCATGCGATCCACCCGCCTCCGCTTCCCAAAGTGCTGGGAGTAGGCGTGAGCATCACACTCGGCAGCAGGCGGCCTTTTCTAAAGAGTAAATGTGTTATTTCTTTCAGTCGCATTGGCACAGCTTTAAGTGTTAATGTGGCAGCTTCCCTCTGTTCGCATAATGATGTGTTTGCAAATTACCTTGGCTGACCTCAGATTTACGGTATTCTGAATTTATTAATCTTGGAGCCTGTAGGTAGTTGCTTGTCAGAACTGTTGAATTAAGCTATTAAGTAAGATACCAGAAGGTCTCCCAAACATACCTAATTTTATAGACAGTTTAAAGCAGACAAGTTTGTAATGTTAGGACAATCTTTATTTTGTATCTTTTCAAAATAGGATGTGAGCTGCAATGAAATTCAAACTATACCTTCCCAAATTGGTAACCTGGAGGCCTTGAGAGACCTTAATGTAAGAAGAAATCACCTAGTACATTTGCCTGAAGGTAAGAAACTATGGAATGATGATGATTATTATTTTAAGCTCTCTCAGACTAATCAAGACAAAAATGCATAAGGGTTATATCCAGGCTGGGCGCTGTGACTCATGCCTGTAATCTCAACACTTTCAGAGGCAGAGGAGGGAAGATTGCTTGAACCCAGGAATTCCAGACCAGCCTGGGCAACACAGAGTCTGTCTCTACAGAAAATAAACAAATTAGCCCCATGGGCTGGCATACTCTTGTAGTCCCAGCTACTCAGGAAGCTGAGGTGGGAGGAGTCCCAGCCCCCAGGAGGCCAAGGCTGCAGTGAGCTGTGGTGGCGTCACTGCTCTCTAGCCTGAGCACCAGAAAGAGACCCTGTTTAAAAAAAGGGGAGAGAGAGAGAGAGAGTGTGTGTGTGTGTGTGTGTGTGTGAGAGACAGTGTGTTACCTCCAGTGTTTGAAATCTAATGGTTTATTTAATAGTGTTATCTGTTTCACTGTGGATTTTAAAAGCCTCTTCAATGAAAAGGTTTGATAACTCTTGACCTTTGATTTTATTTTTAGATATTGTCAACCAGTGTAATCAATAACTCAGGGTAGGGTCACTGGAAATTTCAGTAAGCATGACTGTTTGGGGGAAATGTAACATGTTTGGATAAGGGAGATAGTATGTAGTATAATGAAAAACATTCCCGCAGTTAGCACTCACTTAAAAATGGACTCTGACCTGAACTTAACTTTACCCGTCACTGGAGATGTTCAAACAGAGGCCAATGAACCATGTAGAGCTGATGTGTGGAGTGAATGGTAAATGGGGTGAGAGACTGCGCTGAGAGGCAGGTTATCTTACTTAGGCTGACTACAAGCCATATCATTCAAATATGTATTTGAATGATAAAAATGATTAAACAATTAAGTCTAATTTATCAATCTTTCACAAATTAATAAACAGAATGCTAGAAAGGAAGATGAAAATGAGAGCTGTTATTTTATGAGATCCAGAATATATATTTCTTCTACATGTTTCTGCTCATCACCCAGCAATAAGAGTCATCAGCTCATGGCAAGTCTTGTCTCTGCTGTTCTCTCATTTACTTTCCCCTGCACTGTTCTCTAGATTAATTTGAATCATATACAGAAATTTATTGTAAAATACCAATGAGTCTTCTCAAGGTGTTTTCATGACAGTGATTTTCTAGGTTCTTTGACAAAATATGACTACAGTGTACAATTAATATTTTGTTTGTTTTGAGACAGGGTCTCACTCCCAATACCCAGGCTAGAGTGCAGTGGCACGAACATGGCTCGTGCAGCCTCGACTTCCCAGGTTTAGGTGATCCTCTCACCTCAGCCTCCCAGGTAGCTTAGACTGTGGGCACTCGCCACCATGCCCAACTAGTTTTTGTATTTTTAGCAGTGACGGGTTTTGCCATTGTGCCCAGGCTGGTCTCAAACGCCTGGGGTCAAGAGATCCACTTGCCTCAGTCTCTCAGAGTGCTAGGATTACAGGTGTGAGCCACTGCGCCTGGCCACAATACATGTTGAATTAACTAATGATGTTTTCACTTTCCCTGTAGAATTCAAATATTTATACAAATTTGATCCAGCATAATATTTAGTTCTAAAGTACTAGTGGAGCTTTGACATTTTGGATTCCAAGTAAATGTGTAAGAACATGACCTTTTCAGTCACTTTTATATACTTTACTGCAACCAAAATCTCGCAATGTCTTTCCTCTCACTTGGCTTGTCCAGGAACCTTCCCACCTTTTATCCTCAGGGCCTTATTTTCTCCTGGGTCTGTTTGCTACCAACTCAGGAATGTAAATGAAGGTTAGCAAAACCAAAATCATGACCTCTAGGACCTTATAACCCCAAATTTCTCTCTAGGGTTACCTCTGTACTCAGGACTCACCTACTATGGTTGGTCTTCAAATACTTACTCCTATAATAATATTTATTTAGTGTGAAATCAATTAATGAAAATATTAGGGTTTTAATCAAAATGAAAATTGAGAATTTCAGATGACAATGGAAGCTTAATAGTTTTATCAGCTAATTTATTTCTGTATCTTATTTTGATTGTAGACTGCTGACAAAATAGTTTATCACACAAATAGTTTCAATTTTTTTTAACAGTTTATTTTATAATCTCAGCACATATAGTTGAACTGAGTTGGCAGGTGAAGCCTTATTCCAACAGGTACATTCATTCGTGTGGACGTTTAATTTCTAACATTGCAATTTGGTAGATATCATTTATCTTTTGTTATGTTGCCATTTTGATTTAAAGTTAATTTTAACTTTTACCAAATAATACGTTACATCATTCAAAAAATATTTAAAAATATTGAGTCTTTTTTTTTTTTGTTTTTTGAGACAGAGTCTCACTTTGTCACCTAGGCTGGAGTGCAGTGGCGCCATCTTGGCTCACTGCAACCTCTGCCTCCAGGGTTCAAGTGATTCTCCTGCCTCAACCTCCCGAGTAGCTGGGATTACAGGCACGTGCCACCACGCCCAGCTAACTTTTGTATTTTTAATAGAGACAGGGTTTTGCCATGTTGCCCAGGATAGTCTTGATCTCCTGACCTCGTGATCCGCCTGCCTCCGCCTCCCAAAGTGCTGGGATTACAGGCGTGAGCCACCACGTCCAGCCAAGAATCTTAAATAGTATCGTTCCCCTGCCTCAAACTTCCCAGCACACCAATTTCAATGGCCAGAAGTATGTATCTTCATTAAACTCCTTTGACTCTTTTTTTTTTTTTTTTTTTTTGAGATAGGGTCTCACTCTGTTGCCCAGGCTGGAGTGCATGGCTTGATCATAGCTCACTGTAGCCTCGAACTCCCTGGGCTGAAGCCATCCTCCCATCTGAGCCTTCCAAGTAGCTGGGACCGCAGACATGTGCCATCACACCCAGAAGTTTTTGTATTGTTTTGTAGAGACGAGGGTCTCACCATGTTGCCCTGGCTGGTCTCCTGGGCTCAAGCAGTCCTCCTACCTCAGCCTCCCAAAGCACTGATTACAGGCATGAGCCACAGTGTCCAGACTGCTGACATATTTCTAATTGATACATTTTTATAGCTATTGCTGGTTTGGGCAACTTTGACACTTATGTCAGCTTCCTATTGTGATAGATGAGGATTTAGTTTCCTTACACTATCACATACCATGCCTTTACTGCCTTCCTCCCATCTTCCCAGTGTAGTTTTAGCACAACTTTTGATTAAATTGTTATTCAGTGTTCACATTACTATAATTATGTAAACATTGTTCCCTGCCAATTCAAGTGATGTACTCTGATTTTATTTCTTTTCTTGTACATGTTTTTTTTTTTCTAGAAGTAATAGTTTCTTATCTTTTTATATGCTTATTTTTGTGTGTGTGTATTGCTAATTCCGCCCTCTTTTTCCAACAGTCTTCCTCGTCAAACCAGTCAGATTCTCTATCCCTTTTTTCCGTGCACCTCTGCCTCACTGAGCCCTTTTTTTCCTCTTCTGATACGGACTGGCTGTTCTCTAGTATTGCTGCCCAGCTTTTTTTTCTTTTCTTTGAGACGGAGTCTCGCTCTGTCACCCAGGCTGGAGTGCAGTGACACGATCTCGGCTCACTGTAACTTCCGCCTCCTGGGTTCAAGTGACTCTCTGCCTTAGCCTCCCGAGTAGCTGGGATTACAGGTGCCCGCCACCACGCCTGGCTAACTTTTGTATTTTTAGTAGAGACAGGGTTTCAGCATCTTGACCAGGCTAGTCTTGAACTCCTGACCTTGTGATTCACCCGCCTCGGCCTTCCAAAGTGCTGAGATTACAGGCGTGAGCCACTGTGCCCGGCCTGCTGCCCAGCTTGCTTTCTTCTGTGTTAAATACTCTGATTCCTAGACTGGATCATCCTCAGTTTACTCCCTGTTTTGCTGGAGGACATCTCGTAGTAGTTTCCCAAGAACATGTCATAGGAGAACATATTTTTGAGACTTCACTTGAAAAGAAATGTCTATTCTGTGTCCCCCCTTGATTAATAATTGCATTATAAATCTAGGTTGAAAACTTTTCTTTCAAGCCTTTTAAGTCTTTTTTCACGCTCCGCTTTCAGTGTTTAAAATTAATGGTTGAAAATCTGATGCCGTTCATTCTTAATCCCAGTCCTCTGTGACCAGCTTCTGCTCTATGGAAGATTTTAAGATGGTCCCTGTTTATCTGCTGCTCTGGAATTGTATGTGAATGTGCCGTAGGATGAGTTGTTTTAATTCAATATACTGGGTACTCGGTGGGCCCCTTTCCAAACCAGAGATCCATATCTTCCATTTTGGGAAATTGTTTTACATCTTTTTTTTTTTTTTTTTTGATAACTTTCTTTATTCTGGTTTCTCTGTCCCCTTTTCGAATTATTTTGAATTGGATGTGATTAGACCTCTTTGTTGATCCTCTTTGATGATTTTTCTTATCTTTGTTATTCATTTCTTTGTCATTTTGTGTTATCTTATGGTAAAATAGTTCCAACCATCATGAATTTTTAATTACTACCATTATATTTTTTCATTTCTACAAACTCATTATTCTGTGATTTTTAAAAAACATTCCTTTTATGTTTCAGTGATTAAGGACCTTCTCTTTCTGAAACTAAAGATAGTCTAGCTTTTCAAAATTTTCTTCTGCTTTCTATAAAGTACCTGTTTCTTCTGAGTTCCTTTTTTTGGTTAGTTGGTTGGCTTTGATGTTGGAGATGTCTAAATGTCTGTGGATCATATACTATCTTTATATAGCTGAATAGAAGTTCTGAGTATACTGGGCAGAAATTGTATAATGGTCATTAAGCAGCAAGCTGTGCATTTTATTAGAAGAAATTCTATATCATTATATAAAAGCCTTATATATGGGACTGTGAGGTTTACCAGAGAAAGAAGCTCCATTTCTTCTATGTTATTGTGTATATTCTTAACTGTGGCCATTCCTGGGGATGAAGTAGGATAGGGTGGGGTGGGAAGGTGCTGAGGTTTTAATGTTAAGTGTGTAGACTTTGACTTAACTTCTCCATTTTCAGCTGGCAACTCCTCCTGACTTTCCATTGTGCCTGGGATCCCTGAGTTCAGAGCATTTTTGGTTCAATTTCACTGGAAAAGAATTTGCTGACTGCTGGGAACATTGGAGAAGGATAGTGACCCAGCTGCGTTAGTGGGGGCTGTGGACCCAGGCATTTAACTGTTCTTTATATAGAGTGTTATCTAATCCTTTTGTTATCCTCACCTTCTTGTGGTATCAGGGCCTCCGGCTTCTGAGACTTTCTGTAGTTCTGAGCGGGTCAAAGCTGCTTGCTTTTTATTAGTCATCCTATCTATAGGCAACTAGATCTCATTTTTACCACTTGTCTCATTTTTACCACTTTGCTACCAGTTAATCACTAAAAGAGAATGGGAGTAAGTATCTGTGTTAAAATCACATTTAACTAGAAGCTTTTGTAAAAATTCTTTAGTTGTAAAACATCATTAATTGTTCATTTCCATTTTACCTTCATGCAGAGCTGGCAGAGTTGCCTTTGATACGGTTAGACTTCTCATGCAATAAAATTACCACAATCCCTGTTTGTTATCGGAACCTCAGGCACCTACAGATGATCACCCTAGATAATAATCCACTACAGTCACCTCCTGCACAGGTAAACCATAGTGGAAGCATGGTATGGACTTTTTTTTGGACAAAGGATGAAATTTAAAATTTTCTGTACATTTATCATTCTGTTGGAAAATAATTTCTTTTAAAATAAATTCACATGCATATGTATTTTTGAGAAGCCTTGAATTAATGGATTGGAAGATAATGTTTCCAGAAGTGTTTTTCCTTTCTCTAAATTGGTATTTGTTTTTAAATTGAAGAATTCTTCCCTACATTTTTTTTCTAATAAAATTTTAATTTCTTAATATTTTTCTTGTAAAATTTGAGTGTAGACACTATAAATGCTAGAGACAGGCCAGGCGTGGTGGCTCACGCGTGTAATCCCAGCACTTTAGGAGGCCAAGGCGGGTGGATCACAAGATCAGGAGCTCGAAATCATCCTGGCCAACATGGTGAAACTCCGTTTCTACTAAAAATACAAAAATTAGCCGGGTGTGGTGGTGGGCGCCAGTGGTCCCAGCTACTCAGGAGGCTGAGGCAGGAGAATCGCTTGAACCCAGGAAGCGGAGGCTGCAGTGAGCCGAGATCGCACTACTGCACTCCAGACTAGGCGACAGGGCGAGACAAAGAAAAATACTCAGCTTTCAGAGCTAAAAGCTATCAGCACATTTCTTTTTCTGATCATTGTTATTACAACCTTCCTAATTCTAAAAGTCACAAATTCCTAGTTTAGACATTTTAGTCGTTTATCAGTGACTGAAATGAAGCTATACAATAATAATTGTAAGGTAGCTTTACATGTAGATGCTGGACATCCTACAACCTATACATGTTTGCCAACTGATTATTTTCTCTTAGCTCTTTTTTTTTTATTGAGACAGAGTCTTGCTGTCGCCCAGGCTAGAGTGCAGTGGCACGATCTCGGCTCACTGGAATCTCCGCCTCCCGGGTTTACGCCATTCTCCTGCCTCAGCCTCCCAAGTAGCTGGGACTACAGGTGCCCGCCACCACGCCCGGCTAATTTTTTGTGTATTTTAGTAGAGACGGAGTTTCACTGTGTTAGCCAGGATGGTCTCCATCTCCTGACCTCGTGATCCTCCCAATCTCGGCCTCCCAAAGTGCTGGGATTACAGGCGTGAACCACCACGCCCAGCCCCCTTAGCTCTTTTTAACTCTGCAATTTATTGACGATTTTGTACAAGCATATGCTTCTGTCTCTTTTTTTTTTTGAGATGAAGTTTCACTCTTGTCACCCAGGCTGGAGTGCAATGGCGCGATCTCGGCTCACTGCAGCCTCCACCTCCTGGGTTCTAGTGATTCTCCTGCTTCAGCCTCCCGAGTATCTGGGATTACAGTCCCCCGCTACCACACCTAGCTGATTTTTTGTATTTTTAGTAGAGACGGGGTTTCACCATGTTGATCAGGCTTGTTTGAACTCCTAACCTCAGGTGATCCACCTGCCTCGGCCTCCCAAAGTGCTAGGATTACAGGCGTGAGCCACCGCGCCCGGCCATATGTGCTACTCTTTATGGCAACTATAAAACTTTATGAGTAAACTTCCTAACAATAGAAAGGTCTTATAAGTATAAGCCTCAGGACTTTGTGTTTTGACTTCTGGAACAAGTAGCAACAGAAATACATGTAACAGAAATATATGTAATATTTCATGATGTCCTGCTCTTCTTTCTCAAAGCAAAATCAAAAACACTTAACCAAATAATATAATTTGTTATAAGAATATTCGTTTTTTAATATTACTGTATGTACTTGATAGAAATGCCTCCTGTTCCCAATGTACGTTACATAAAATGTTGATATGATAAAAAGGAGAATACTTCAGATGAGTAATAATTTGTCTACATTTATGTTACTTTATTTAGATATGCATAAAAGGCAAAGTCCACATATTTAAATACCTGAACATACAAGCTTGTAAGATTGCTCCAGATCTGCCAGATTATGATAGGAGACCATTGGGTTTTGGCTCCTGGTAAGTATATTCTGTACCTTTGCCTATCATATTTTTTGCACAGGGAATCAAATAAAATGGATACTTTAATTTGCCTGGATGTTTGACTAAAGGGAAATAACCTGTTTTAACACTGTGATTCTCAGAATGCTTGTATTGTAGTGTTGATTACCTACATCTGGCAAAGTCTAGTTCTAAGGGTTTCTCAACCTTGGGACTCTTGACATTGTATATCAGATAATTCTTTGTTGTGATGGGCTGTCATGTACATCGTAAGACATTTAGCAGCGTCCTTGGCATCTACCCATCAGATGCCAGTAGTACCCTCCCAAGGTGACAAACAAAAATGTCTCCAAATGTCACCTTGAGGCCTCCAGTTGAAAACTAGTGGTCTGAGTGACTTTAGCTCTGCTGCTGAAATAACTAGCTGAAGGCAAGTCATTCATACTTTTTGGGTTTCATTTTTCCTACAAGGAGGGAAGAGTTGGATTTGTTGACCATTAACATCACTTCAGTATCTTTTAAGTCTATGAGTCCCTCAGCTACATAACATGACTTATAAGTCTATGAGTCCCTCAGCTACATAAAATGGCTTCTCTGATCTATAGGTCCCTCAGCTACATAGTGACTTATAAGTCTATGAGTCCCTCAGCTACATAATATGACTTATAAGTCTGATCCTCGGCTGCATAACACATGACTTATAGTCATGATCCTCAGCTACATATGACATAAGTCTGAGTCCTCAGCCATAACATGACTTATAGAATCTGAGTCCCTCAGCTACATAGCATTGACATAAGTCTGCTTGGGTCCCTCAGCTACATAACGTGACTTATAAGTCTGAGTCCCTCAACTACATAACGTGACTTACTCGTCCCTACCACAAATTCCCTCAGCTACATAACGTGACTTATAAGTCTGAGTCTCTCAGCTACATAACGTGACATAAGTCTGTGAGTCCCTCAGCCATGCGTGACTTATAAGTCTGAGTCCCTCAGCTACACTGCTACATAACGTGACTTATAAGTCTATGAGTCCCTCAGCTACATAACATGACTTATAAGGTCATAACATGACTTATAAGGTTGGGACTGCTTGGCAGTCCCAACCGTATGGAACAATCTCTTCTTTTTGTAACAAGGTCTTACTATGTTGCCCAGCCTGGTCTCTCAAACTCCTGAGCTCAAGCATTCCTCCCACCTCAGCCTCCTGAGTATGAAGCAGTCTTAAGTAGCAAGAATTAAATTCTTGGGCCTTTAAACAAGCAGGATAGATGTTTTAGTGAAAGTGAAATAATGTTTATGGACTTTACTCCAAAGAGAACCCCTCAGACCTTCTCTTGGAACCTCTCAAATTTTGCTTAAAAGCACAGCCCCAGTAAACTTGCCTCATTGGGTGAACAAGAATTGCAGAGGTGTGATTGTTTTGAAGCTGGATAATAATGAGTACATGAGGTCTCATACTATTCTGTTTGCTTTGTTTCTATTTGGAATTTTTCATATTAAAAAATTAAAAGAAAGCCCATTTAGTTCTAATAGTTAAGTGACTGCTTGTTTTTTTAGAAAACTGATCTGTTTAATTTCAAATGTTAATTGTTAAAATAACAAACTTTGCAGTAACAAAGTCTCTTTTTGGCAGCCATGAAGAACTGTACTCAAGTCGCCCGTATGGAGCCCTTGATTCAGGCTTCAATAGCGTGGACAGTGGTGATAAGAGATGGTCAGGGAATGAAGTAAGTGTTTTTTATAATCCGTGTGTTATAACACCTGATTAAGGGAAAATAAAATGATGAAAATGAAAAGTGCCTTAACCAGATTCAATTTCTCACTACATAAAATACAGAAAAGTCAAAGTGGGGGTAAGATTCCCACATTCTACAGCTGGAACTGGTGTTCTGCTTCCTTACCGGCTTTCCATCACGCGTATTTCCACCTGTCTGTTTCCTCATTGTCTCATGAAAATAGTTTCATATCATAGAAAGGCAAACAGGAGCTGAGCCAGTGGAAACTGAAGCCTAAAATGTGAAGGGTGGGGTGTTCTTGAGCAGAGGCGAGAGACGGTGAGAGAACAAGTGGGACTTCAGGCCGATGGGTAGAGATGAGGACCTTAGTGAAGAGTATTCATGTGCTCAGGAGGAACAGCCTCCTAGCTAATTCTGTCGTTTTCCTGGTTTTTAAATTATTTGTATTATGTTTTCTGCTCCTAAAAATTAGTGTGTCCACAGAGAAGGTCTACAGAAGAAAAAAAGTAAAAAAATAAAAATTACTAATGTGAATATTTTAGCAATGCATTAAGTTATTAAATAAACTTCTGTTAGCAAGATTGATAACCTACTATTTATAACATTGTTTTATGGTGAATCAAAAGCAAATTAATTTTAGACCACATCCCATTTGTAATTTGGAATTGTGTTTGTATGTCTTGGTGGGTGGGTTCATAAATGTGGCTGTATCGATACAGATATATATGTAGATATTTTAAATCTATATGGATAGATTTATGGAGTCATGAATCTTTTTTTTTTTGAGACGGAGTCTCGCTCTTTCACCCAGGCTGGAGTGCAGTGGCACGCCCATGGCTCAAGCAGTCCTCCCACATAAACCTCCTGAGTAGCCGGGACTACAGGCTTATGCCACCACGCCCGGCTAATTAATTTTTTTTTAATTTAGAGATGGGGTCTCCCTGTATTGCCCAGGCTAGCCTCAAACTCCTGGGCTTATCGTTCCCACCTTGGTCTCCCAAAGTGTTGGGATTATAGGCATCAGCCACCACTCCCGGCCAGGTTTTTATCTTTTTGAGGTAGGATCTCGCTTTGTTCGCACAGGCCAGAGTGCAGTGGTGGAATCCTATCTCATTGCAGCCTCGAAGTCCTGGGCTGAAGCGATGCTCTCATCTCAACACCCAAGTATTAGGATTAGAGGCATGCGTGAGCACCCCCAGCTGATTTCCTCCTGGCCTCGAGTGGTCCCCTGGTTCGGTCTCCCAAAGCGCATGTATTACAGGCGTGAGCCGCCAGGCTCGAAAATGATTGTTCACGTTTCTGCTTCTTTTTTAAGCCTACAGATGAATTTTCCGATCTGCCTCTTCGAGTAGCAGAGATGACTAAAGAGCAAAGACTACGAAGGGAAAGCCAGTACCAAGAGAACCGCGGCAGCTTAGTGGTAACAAATGGTGGAGGTAAACGGAATTCCAGTGACATCGAAAGTGTTTGCAGTCATTTAACTTTTTAAAGTTGTCTTTTTCACACCCACTGCTTTTGTTTGTGTACCTATAGCTTCTTCACTCTTCTTTTAAATACTTCTTTTCATATATGATTGAAAAATGCTATTTTCCATTGGGATGAAACTATGATTTCTGGTTTCAGTCAGAGTTAAAATATAGTATTTCTCCCTTGTTTTTATTTTGGGAGGAAACTTTATTAGAGACAGTACACCTGGAGTAGATCTTCGTTAATCTGGATTTAACCATGACCTTTTCAAGTACCATTCTCCCTTTTTAAGATTCTTGCTGTGGTCATTATTTGATCTCTTTTAGGAATTTAGCGCATTTTTTTTTTTTAGCGTTTACCTTTTCTTCACTTGGAATTGTCAGATGCTCTTCAAGGGCGTCTGAATCGCAGTTTTCCTTATTCTGACATTAAAAAATTTGTAGTTCATTAGCAAGTAGCACTCTACTTGCTTATACTTTCTGAAGCAGACTCTTGATTTTTGCATTCCATTCTGTATTGCTTGAATTGGTTTGAATTTAATGTTTAATGTTTAACTTCATATTTAAATTTTGAGGGCCAGTTATAAGGGAAAAATGACTTTGATTTTTCCAGAAACCTATTACTTATCTGAGAAGAGCTTTCATTTCTGCGTGATGATTTCAATTAAATGGTTTGCTGTCTTTTTCCTCACCATCTTATGTTCTTTCCTCCTGTCGTTACCATTTTTCATTTACATTTCAGTAGTTTTCAGTGTTTTTCTCGTATGAGGTATCTTTCTCCATCAGTTTATTTAAGACTTAAAATAATGTTGAGATCTGTGCTGGTATGGTAGCCACTAGCCACGTGTGGTAATTATTGAGTATTTGAAATGTGTTTTTTTAGGCTGGGCGTGGTGGCTCACACCTGTAATCCCAGCACTTTGGGAGGCTGAGGCAGGTGGATCACTTGAGGTCAGGAGTTTGAGACTAGCCTGGCCAACATGGTGAAACCTCATCTCTACTAAAAATCCAAAAAAAAAAAAAAAAAAAAAAAATTAGCAGAGCATAGTGGCACATGCCTGTAATCCCAGCTACTGGGGAGGCTGAGGCAGGAGAATCACTTGAACTCGAGAGGCAGACGTTGTAGTGAGCCAAGATCGCGCCACTGCACTCCATCCTGGGCAACAGAATGAAACTGTGTCTCATAAAAGGAAATAAAAAAGAAAGGTGGTTTTTCCAAATTGATACGTATTGTAAGTTTAAAACACACATCAGATTTTGAAGACTTCATTTGAAAAAAAGCATATAAAGTAGTAATATTTTGCATTGAATTTATGTTGAAGTGATATTTAGACATATTGGACAATGTAAAATATATTAAAATTAATGATGCCTCTTTTACTTTAAAAAATATGACTACTAGAAAATTTCAAATGACGTATGTGGTTCACCTTTATGGCTTGTGTTATTTTTCTCTTTGGCCACACTTGTCTAGATTGTATGAAGAAGTAAAGTTGCTTTCTTCAGAAATGGTCTTAATATAAACATGTATTTAGTCAGACAAGTGTTAGCACATTTTAAAAAATGCATTTATTTACCTGGTTTCTAATGTGGATGTAAACTTGTAACCTTTTCATCTTTTTTAGCTATTAATAAAACTCTAATAACTCATAATTCATTTTATATTAATTGCATTCACAGAATTATTTATAAATGAGTCAGAAGACTAGTTTGAGAAAGAGGCTTCTCCAGGTTCACTGCTCCAGCAACTGCGATTTTTAGGCAGCCTGTAGAACATCATAAAGTAACAGGTTGTGGTTTAATGCGTCTCTGGAGAAACTGTCTTAGTAGCAAGTTTTTTTTTCTAGTGTGCCATTTTAAGTAGTTGTTTCATTACTTTTAAACTTAAAAATAATGGGGGATTCCCAAACTTAATAGATGAACGATGTGGCTAAAAATAATTTATATACTTCTCCTCACCCTAAAGCATTTTGAGAGGAAAAAATTCGTCAAATGAATCCCTTCCCATCCAAAAACTATTATAAAATATCTACATTGCTGACCTCTAGCAGATAGTTTTCCAAATAGGACAATCTTTGTTCTGATCTTTTTTGTTTCTGTTTAATTGACAACAATTACTGGAAGGGAGATAGTAGTCAGAAACTCTTTTCTTTCTCAAGTCCAGTTTACTCCTACCTTTTCCCTTTTTTGTGTGTGGCCTTTTACTTTCTTTTGAGTTGACTATGTTCAGTTTTCCACCTGCTATCTCCTCCAGAGATAATAAGCCCCAGACCTAAAACACAAAGATGTGCCTTTCAGTCTTTAAAAACTGGTCTTGCTCTTTGTTTCACAAACTCAAACTACTGTGTTTAAAACAGTAGGGAGCTGTCCAAAGAAAAATGTTAGAGGTCTCTATTTCAATAATTATCATCAATTACTGTGTTCTTTAGTGAACCAGGACTAAGGTTTTCTGGAGCCTATTTTTGTGAGTGACCATGAACTAAATAATAAACACTTAGGTGCCGCCTCGGTGGCTGACGCCTGTAATCCCAGCACTTCGGGAGGCCAGAGTGGGCGGATTGCTTGAGCACAGCAGTTTGAGACCAATGTGGCCAACATGGTGAAACCTCATCTCTACTAAAAATAGAAAAAGTAGCTGGGTGTGGTGGTGCACACCTATAATCCCAGCTACTTGGGAGGCTGAGGCAGGAGAATCACTTGAACGTGAGAAGCAGAGGTTGCAGTGAGCCAAGATTGCACTACTGCACTGCAGCCTGGGTGGCAGAGTGAGACCCTGTCTCAAAAAAAAGAAAAACAAAACAAAATAAAATATAAGTAAAATTTATTTACTTTTTTTTTGTTTTTGAGACGGAGTCTTGCTCTGTTGCCCAAGCTAGAGTGCAGTGGCACGGTCTCGGCTCACTATAACCTCCGTCTCCCAGGTTCAAGCAATTGTCCTGTCTCAGCCTCCCGAGTAGCTGGGACTACAGGCCTGCACCACTAAGCCCGGCTAATTTTTTTGTATTTTTAGTAGAGATGGGTTTCACCATATTGGTCAGGCTGGCCTCGTACTCCTGACCTCAGGTGATCCACCCGCCTCCACCTCCCAAAGTGCTGGGATTACAGGCGTGAGCCACCAACCTTGGACATAAAATGGGTAAAAAAAAGACTTAAGTAATTTAAAGTTTTTATCATCCCTCCCACTTTCAAAATAGAAAATCTTGGGGAAAAGGAAATAAGTAAATGTCTTTTATTGGCTGTCTAATTCGAATGTTTTTTTCTGGTGTGTGTGTGCGTGTGTGGGTGTGTGTGTGGTGTATACAGTGGAACATGATCTGGATCAGATTGACTTCATAGACAGCTGTACGGCAGAGGAAGAAGAGGCCGAGGTGAGACAGCCCAAGGGACCGGACTCAGACAGCCTTAGTTCACAGTTTATGGCATATATTGAACAACGGCGAATCTCTCATGAGGTAGTACCTAGGTTGAAGCCTAAATATGTTGCTATCCCTTCGTAAAAATAATTCATAATAGTATAAAGTTTTGTTGTATCAGTGATTTGTTGACTTAAGCCTAATTGTTTTCATTATGTTCACTTCTAATTTCAGTACCGAATTGTTGAGATTTATTCAGAAACATCAGACAGTAGTCTCAAGTAGGCTTTAGGTTTATTTTTCAAACAAGAAGACAGATTTCAGAATTTTGCAGAAGGAGAAAGAGAAGTCTAGGTACTGTTAAGGCCTTCGAAGAAAGTACAAAGAAAAATACAGTGATGCTTTTCATTGTTGTTTTTATTGCTTTTATATTGTTACTAACTGATAAATCATAGTTTGGTCAGTAGTTAATTAACAGTTAAACCAAAAAGTTGACTTTTGTGGCAACATGCAGACTTAACCATAGAATTTTTATAATATGCTGAATTATATTGGAGCTTTTGTGCTAAGTCACACAGAACATAAATTGTTTGCTATTAAAATTCTTGGGTATCTCTTAAGGGGAACGTTGAATTGCCTTAGAAAACAAATGTGCATTCAGCCACTGCAGAATCTCCGCCAGCTCCCCGAGGGTCTCAGGTAGAATAGCGTTCTTCAGTCTGTCTTGTCAGTGTAATAAATGGCTTCACTTCAGTGGATGTGATGTTGATGTCTGGAGTTGGATTCAGGCTCTGAGCAGTGATTATTTGAGAAACAGTTGGGTCCTTTCTAGAGAATGATGTATTAGCCTTTTAGAAATAGAGAATAATCTCTTTGGTCTGAGACAGCTAAAAGGAAAGAAAAAAAAAGAAATAGAGAATAATCATTTCAAGTGGGACATGTAGAGTGATATTATCATTCTTTATTTAATGAGACAGAGTCTCACTGTGTCGCCCCGGCTGGTGTGCAGTGATATGATCTTGGCTCACTGCAGCCTCTGCCACCCAGGTTCAAGTGATTCTCCCGCCCCAGCCTCCTGAGTAGCTGGGATTACAGGCGTGCGCCACCACACCCGGCTAATTTTTGTATTTTTAGTAGAAATGGGGTTTCTCCATGTTGGCCGGGCTGGTCTTAAACTCTTGACCTCATGTGATCTGCCTGCCTCAGCCTCCCAAAGTGCTGGGATTACAGGTGTGAGCCACTGTGCCCAGCCAATATTATCATTCTTTTTTTTAAAAAGGAGCTTTGATTTTTCTTGTCTGAACACTTTGGACACAGTGTGTTTTGTTGGTAAAGAGACACTCTTGTATTTAAAGTTGGATAAAATTATGTAAGTCAAAGTCTTACAGCCCAGAGATAGCAGTGTACCAGATGACTGGTGAAACTACTTGTTCAGGCTGCTAGAGCAAGGGGCACCTAACTGTTTTGCAATAAAATTAAAATGAATGATGACACATTATAATCCTTAAAGGAATTCATTTCCTTTTCTCCTGGTCTTTCTTTTTGATCATGTTATGCTTAATTAGGCTGTATAAATGGAGTATCTTTACTAAAAGTAAAAATGTCTATTATACTACTATGAAAAATGATAGTATCATTTCTTTAATTCATTATATTGTTTGTTTTGTAATAATATTTTTTAAATTCTGACTGCCTATTACATATGGTAGTCTTTATGACTTCTGTGTCATAAAGCTTTCGAAAATTTAGCGTCTGTGAAAATATGATGAGGCAGCATTATTTTAGATGGTTTCACAACCAGGGAAGAATTATCTTTTTATTTTCCTGAACACTTATCTAAAAATGGATTGTTAAAAACTAACCTATGTGAGATTTTAAACACTCTACTATTATTTAATTTTATTATAATACTTGTCACATACATAGACCATTCCTATCTGAACATGGTATGATTTTTTTTTAATTAAACGAATGACACATTCATTTTGTCATGAAAATTTCATGTACCTCTTAGAATAATTTTAGATAATTGCAGTATCATAAAACTAGGATGGGGCTGGACATGGTGGCTCACACCTGTAATCCCAGCACTGTGGGAGGCCGAGGCGGGTGGATCACTTGAGGTCAGGAGTTTTAGACCAGATTGGCCAATGTGATGAAACCCTGTCTCTACTAAAAAAATAAAAATAAAAAATAAAATAAAACTTAGCTGGGAGTTATGCCGGGCACCTGTAGTCCCAGCTACTCTGGAGGCTGAGGCATGAGAGTCGCTTGAACCTGGGCGGCGGATGTTGCAGTGAGCCAAGATTGTGCCTCTGCACTCCAGCCTGGGTGACAGAGCAAGATTCCGTATCAAAAAACAACCAACCAAATAAAAAAACTAGGATGGTAAGTCACTGATACAACATCCTAGGAGAGATTTTTGTTTCTTTGTTAAAATGGTATAGCTTGGCCTGGTGGCTCATTCATTCCTGTAGTCTCAGCCACTCGGGAGGCTGAAGTAGGAGGACTGCTTGAGCCCAGGTGTTTGAGACCAGCCTGAGCAACATAGTGACTCTGTCTCTAACTAAGTAAACAAAAATTGTAAAATGGTGTATTCACTAAAATTAGAAAAATTATTTTTGCATCGGAGTTGCAGAATTGTAGTTTATTATTGGGATCTCATGTCCAGACTTTAAGACAGTCAGTTGTTAGCCCTTTGGAGTAACTCACCGAAAGTTTCTAGTGACATGTGATGTACCTGTTTCTTGGAGGTAGATGATAAGTAGTTTTATGTTTGATTTGTAGATATCCTTTTTGGAAAAATTGTTTTCTTATTTTTCCCTTGGTGACTATTTTGATGATTATTTTTGGTTGAAACAAGATTGTATTGCTTCTGTAGATTTTCCTTTGATAACCTTTAATCCTCTACCTTTGATTTATAGTTTTATTTTTCTGTGTGTGGTCTGTATTTTAAACCAGTTTAATTTTCCTCAGTAATACTTTTTGAAATTGACCTTTTACTCTTTAGTTCATAAATAAGTAAAATTGCCAGTAATATTTTTCTTTTAAATACAGTATTTTACCATAAATAGAAATTACTTTTTGTTTTATCTTGATAGTCACTAACACACCCAAGACTATTTGTATGAGTGTGATAAGAGACAATTTGTGGTGATGGATCAATAAAGAAATGTAATCTGCCCAGTGAACTCACTATGACCAGAAATATTCAAGAGAAACTGAGCAAATGTCAGTGTAGGGTAGGTGGGAATTTCTGTCCTCAATGGAAGTCTGTACTAGTGGCCTCTTCAGTTCCTTTCCAATTCTAACATCTTATTATTCAGTAAATATTACTGTGCTCGGTCACTGTAATGTGTATAATACAGTGAGAAGGAAATCTACTTTCTTATAAAATAAATGTGAATTGTGAACATTTTTGTTTATTAAAGCAGCAGTATAGCATATGATGCTTTTACACTTAAAGTTTACATTTGAAGAGTCTATTAAAGTATTTTTTAATGTAATATACAAATTAAATGACAAATTGGATGTGAACTGTGTAATCACAGTGTTATGGATTAATATATTAAATTTATTTATTTCTATCCTTTGGCCTAGGGTTCACCAGTAAAGCCAGTAGCCATTAGGGAGTTTCAAAAAACAGAAGATATGAGAAGATATTTACATCAAAACAGGTTTGAAAAACCAATTCTACTTAATTTATTTCTGTCTTAATGATGAGAGCTTAAAATAATTTTGGGTTTATGCAGATCTGTGTATAATAAAGATGTTTCGATAGCATATATTTAGAACTGAATGATGGTATGCTTTTTGTACTCATGCCATAGAAAAAGTGAAAATTGATTTGATTCTAAATTGACACTATCTAAATCATCACCTACACAGTTAATTCATCTGAAGATACTTGGGCCAGCAATGAGACTTTGTGGTGATGCTCTGTGGATTCATGCATAAAAAGGGCTAAAAGAACTTCAGGACTGCGCATGGTGGCTAACACTTGTAATCCCAGCACTTTTGGGAGGCCAGGGCGGGAGGCTTGCTTGAGCCCAGGAGTTGGAGACCAGTCTGAGCATCATTCTACCCTCTACAAAAAGAAAAGAACAGCCTGGCATGGTGGGGCACACGTGTGGTCCCAGCAACTCAAGAGGCTGAGGTGGGAGGATCACTTGAACTGGGAGGTTGAGGCTGCAGTGAACCCAGTTTGTGTCATTGCACTCCCACCTGGGCAACAGAGTGAGACCCTGTCTTAAAAAAAAAACACAACACAGAAAAATACAAAAAACAAAAACAATGAGTTTCGAGAGTCCTAATTTTTTTTTTTTTTTTTTTTTTTTTTGAGATGGAGTCTTGCTCTGTCCAGCCCAGGCTGGAGTGCAGTGGCCGGATCTCAGCTCACTGCAAGCTCCGCCTCCCGGGTTTACGCCATTCTCCTGCCTCAGCCTCCCGAGTAGCTGGGACTACAGGCACCGCCACCTCGCCCGGCTAGTTTTTTGTATTTTTTAGTAGAGACGGGGTTTCACCGGGTTAGCCAGGATGGTCTCGATCTCCTGACCTCGTGATCTGCCCGTCTCGGCCTCCCAAAGTGCTGGGATTACAGGCTTGAGCCACCGCGCCCGGCGAGTCCTAATTTTTTTTTAACTTACATTTTTGACTGGATAACAGAGAGAGAGGCAGAGACAGTGATATGTATCGCCAGTCCTGTCTCCATGCGATCTTTCCACTGTACTTGGTGCCTCTCAGAATATTTTGAAAATTAGGCCCTGCACGGTGGCTCATACCTGTACTGCCAGCACTTTGGGAGGCCAAGGTGGGCGGATCACTTGGGGTTAGGAGATCGAGACCAGCCTGGCCAACATGGTGAAACCCCATCTCTACTAAAAATACAAAAATTAGCTGAGTGTGGTGGGACACACCTGTAATTCCAGCTACTTGGGAGGCTGAGGCAGGAAAATCTCTTGAACCCAGGAGGCGGAGGTTGCAGTGAGCAGAGATTGCGCCACTGCACTCCAGCGTGGGTGACAGTGAGACTCCGTCTCAAAAAAAAAAACAAAAAAAACCACAATATTTTGAAAATCAGCTTGATCATTTAGAGCACTGCTTCTCATTCTTGAATTCCAGAATGTTTGCCATGAAGTATTTCGCAGTAGTTGGAAATTTCATCCTTTAGTTCTTTGCCTTCTGGTTTTATGAAGTCTTGATATGCCTATTCTTAAGTTATAGTAAATTTACGTAGTTCTTATACTTGACAGGGTATTAAAGTTAACTTGGGGGACTGAAATATAGATGGAATAAATATGTAGGGAGAAAAAAGACATAACTTTGACATTTATACTCTTGCCACTTAACTAATGGAGATTTAATTAAATTTTATATGCTTCAAAATTTATTTCAGAATGTCTTTTCAGTTGCCATATGCCCTTTTATTGAAAGTATAGTCTTGAGATTCCAGTTTTATGCAGGAGTTTCCAGTTACATTCCCTACCCTGAGTGGGCCTGCGTTTTTTATCTCCTGTCTGTCTCACGTCCTGCATCCATCATAGCTCGAGAGCTCCAGGATTTAGTAGAAACCCTCACAATAAAAGCTAGCTTTTTCACTCAGTTACCTTATGTGTTAGTTTTCTGTTGCTTGTGTTATAAAGTTCTAGCAGTTTAGAACAACACCTCTTTATTATATTAATACCCTTCTGGAGGATAGAGCCTGGGCAGGCCCCCCTGGTTCTCTACTTAGAAGCCAAAGTCAGGGTATTAGCTGACCTGGATTCTCATGTGGAGACTGTGGAGGAGAGTTCATTTTCACACTCCTACATGTTGGCAGAGTTCAGTTTGATGCAGTTACCGGTCCCCGTGACTGAGGTCCCCATTATTTTCCTGGTTGCCAGTGGGTGGTGTTTAGAGTCCACCCACATTCCTTCTTCATGGCCCCCTCCGTCTTTAAACCAGGAATGATGGGTCAAATCCTCCTTATATTTGGAATCTTTCTCACTTCCCTTTCTGCCGCATCTCCCAAAGTCTTTTGCTTTTAAGGGCTCGTGGTTATATTAGGTCAACCTGGATAATATCCCTGTTTTAAGGCCACCTGATTAGTAACCTTAATTTCATCTGCAAAGCCTTTTAAAAATGTAATACAGCAATATTCACTAGAGTAAGGCCAGGGACGGAGGTCATGGAAGACGAAAGTCTGCCTACCACATCTTAGTCCAGAGTTCCTGTTTTTACTTCTTTTTGAAAGTCTGTGGATTCTTTATTTTCATGGCACCTTAGCAATACATTTTAAAAGCTTGTTTTGTTTTATTCAGCATTTTGGTTATTTCCATTGGAAGAGTCATTCAGGATGTTTAGTCTGCCGCAGTGCTGGAAACTAAAGCTGGGATTACATTTTTTGTTTTGTTTTGTTTCGTGACGGGGTCTCCCTCTGTTGCCTAGGCTGGAGTGCAGTGTTGTGATCATGGTCACTGCAGCCTCTACCTCCCAGGCTCAAGCAATCCTCCCACCTCAGCCTCTGGAGTAGCTGCAACTTCAGGCGTGTGCTATATACTCAGCAAATTGTTTGTTATTTTTAGTAGAGACAGAAATCTCTCTAAGTTGCCCAGGCTGGTCTCAGACTCCCGGACTGAAGTACTAACCCTCCCGCTTTGGCCTCCCAAAATGCTGGGATTACAGGTGTGAGCCACTGCACCCAGCCATGATTACTGTTTAACTGGGGGTTCCAGAATACTAGACCTTAGCATAGTCCTTGGATAAGAACTCCATACTTGATCCTAGTAACCAGTTAGGCTCTAAGATCAATATATACTTCATGTTTTTAATTAGCAGGTATTTGTGAAATATCTACTGTGTGCCAAGTTGTTTTCCAGATGTAGCTGTGAGCTTAGTCAAAATTCCTGCCATCTTGGAGCTACCATTCAAGTGGAATGTTGAATTAGAACCTAAAAAGACAAAATCACCTCTTAATGACTGATAGCTCTCAGGCGAGCAAGACTTGTCTTTAATCTGAATAACATGTTATCAAAAAGAATCCGCCTCAGTGGTCTGTCAGTTACAGCAACTCAAAAACATTGAGTGAGCATGAGGAATCCTCTGCTAGTGAGCCGAAAAGGAAAGCTAGCTTACCCCTTTTTTTCTCCCATTCTCTTCCCCTACCCTCATCCACCACACACATTTCTTCCCACCTACCACTCCCCTATCCCCTAGGCACATAGAGTCTACCCTACTGGGAGATAATAAACATATGGAGGTGTAATACATAAAAAGTGTGAATGTTTTGTAGTATTTGCCAAGATGGATTATGTAAATTTGAAATTGAAACTAGCAAAAATTACGTTTTAAAAAAATTGTTAAAATAATTTTTTATGGACTGGGTTCAGTGGCTCATGTCTGTCATCCCAGCACTTTGGGAGTCCGAGGCCAGCAGATCACCTGAGGTCAGGAGTTCCAGACCAGCCTGGCCAACATGGTGAAACCCCATCTCTACTAAAAATACAAAAATTAGCCAGGTGTGGTAGCTTGCACCTGTAGTCCTAGCTACTCGGGAGGCTGAGGCAGGAGAATTGCTTGAACCCTGGAGGTGGAGGTTGCAGTGAGCGAAGATTGTACCACTGCATTCCAGCTTGGGTGACAGCAAGACTCTGTCTTAAAAAAAAAAAAAAAAAAAGGCCGGGCACGGTGGCTCAGGCCTGTAATCCCAGCACTTTGGGAGGCCGAGACGGGCGGATCACGAGGTCAGAAGATCGAGACCATCCTGGCTAACACGGTGAAACCCCGTCTCTACTAAAACTACAAAAAAACTAGCCGGGCGAGGTGGCGGGCGCCTGTAGTCCCAGCTACTCAGGAGGCTGAGGCAGGAGAATGGCATGAACCCGGGAGGCGGAGCTTGCAGTGAGCCGAGATCCGGCCACTGCACTCCAGCCTGGGCGACAGAGCGAGACTCCG